TCGGAAGGTGCAGATGGATGATTGCTTTTTAAAAGGTGTCTTAGGTTCACCTAATGAACAAGATACTTTTATACAATAAATGAACAGCTTAAGGATGGAGAGTGTTTGATCCATCTTTACATTTCTGCAACTTACCATAATATCTGACATTAGCAAACTTTCAATGAGTACTTCTGTGATAATACTACAGATTAGATTTCTGTGGGAATATGGATATATTTTTAAGTAATTATACAATGGGATTCATTGTGTATATGTGACCACTTAGTAATAATTTCCTAGAAAATAGGACTGGGGATGTAGAGAGTATTTGCTTAGTATGCACAAGGTCCTGGGTTCTATCCCCTGCACTGTAAAAAAGAGAAAAGATAAGTAACTTTGAAAAATAATATTATTTGTGGCCCCTGACCACTATGTGAAAAAAATGTATGCTATAGATAAAGAATGAATGTCATTTACCAGGTTTTACCGACTCATTCATGCATGAACTTCCCAAAGATACAATCAGAAGACTGCATTTACATCTGGATTTCTGTATTCATAGAATATAACAAGTGTATTCTCATACTTATTATAAGACTTCTTGGTATAACATGCTAATTACTTTCTCTCACTCTGGCTCCCAAACCACAATGAATCTTATTATAAAAGCAAATCGCTGCAAACTTCAAACAGCATGCATCTTTGAGGTGCCACTACTAAAGGAAGCACAATGATGGGAAATCTTTGATGTTATCAGATGTGATGGAAACTACACATTTGTATTTGCGTAAATCCTGCGGATTGAAGCATTTTCCCTACCCTTAAATAACCTGAAGCCAATTTCAAGCTCCCAAATGCTCTTCAAAGCAGCCCGACTTGGAAGTAATGCTGATGGCATTTCAAATTTCAAGAAAGCTTTCTTTTCCATCTCAGGACTTCAAGCAGATTTGAAATTCTACTTTCAAAGGGAAAAGACATTACCTACTTTTACCCAAACAGTAGGCTGTGGTTTGATGAGCAAAATGTTACAGGTAATGAACTTACCTATGTTAATGAAAAGATGGTCATGTAGCTGAGATTCTGAATAATGCAGCTCATTCTAGCAGTTCTGAACTGTGAGTGTTTGGTATTTCATGCTGCAGTTCCTTCTTGTTCTTGTGCTGTTGACCAAAAGTTGGAATGTAAACTTTAAACCATGTGACAGAACAACTGTACACAACTGTAATTAGTCCATCTCCTCCTGAATGAGGTATCTGTGAATCTGAAGACAAAAATCAGTGTGTGCCTGACTCCAGCGCCCACAGGGAGCCTGGACCACATAATTCAGAGCATTCATACTTTGAGTAGCCCCTGTTCTAGGAGGGTTGGTCTGCGGCTTCTTAAAAGGCCTCAGATTTGTGGTCAGTAGAAATATCCATGAGCTAAAGGATACACTGCATCTAGTGAAGTTCCACTAGCATTTAATTAGGTTTCCTGTTATTGCTTTAAGTAAAAGGGGGGAATGAAACCTGAGGTTATCATCTTGGGACACAAAATATTTGTATGTGGTTTTAATATCCTGAACCCATTTGTTGCTGTTCTGCATTTTAGAAAGAGCCACTATAGTTCAAAGGAAATACACATTGCAGGTTTATCAGCCCTTTGGTGGCTGTAAATTTCCGGCAACAACCTTAAAGAGTTTTGTTTCCAGTAACTGAATTTTTGCATGAACAGGGAATGTATAAACAAGTGAAACAGGCAAAAGCACTAAACACCAGAAAGTGAAAGGAGAAAAAGAGGAGATGGGGGTTGAGAGAAAGATTGTCTTCCATCTTTCCTCAGACACAAGTTTCTAGATATTGGAGTAATGAGAAAAATTACAAAAGGACAGGAAAAATAGAGGCCTGTTAGGGTCTGGGAAGGAAAGAGGGAAATAGTGCTTTTTTATTAATAACCTGGGATTTTTGCTGTGAAGATTGTGATGTTATTTAAACATTGGCTAAAGTAATATTCTACTCTCCTTTTTTTAGAGGGGTTAGAGATTAGACCATTTACTTAAAAAAATCTTTTAAAACTGGTTATTGAATAAATATAAAAGGTTGCTAATTTTCAAAACTTAGTGATTTTGAATATACTTAGCAAACTTTTGACAACAGAGTTGCCCCTTCAGGATCTTGTCATGCCTTGGAGTTCCAAAAGCCACTTTCCTAGGCTTCGGTCAAATTCAAGAGTCTTCAGTGAAGCTCAGGACCCGCAGTTTCTATGACTCAAGCCCCATTAGCTCTTGACAGAAAATAATGTTCATTTCCCTTGGGATAGCACCTACTTCTGGCTGTTAATTTCTCTGAGAACTCTTACCCATAGGTGTTAAGGAAAGCTCTAGAAGCTCTTTCTCTAGGGTTTCCAGAAGACATATTCTTTCCTGTCACTTATGATCAGTCACTTTTTAAAAATGTAACTTTTTGGAGCTAGTTAACTCTAAGGAATTGAATACATATACATTCATATGCATATAAATGCACATACACACGTATAGATGTATATATATATATTTTTTTAACTCCTTACTCCTCATCTGACCATATTAAATACTAGCTTAAAACTCTTTAATAATATCCACAGATCTCAAGAAAAAATCCAAAATCTTTTTTAAAATTTTATTGTTTTTACATTTACTCACATGTGTATACATTGTTTAGGTCACCTCCCCCAGCTACCCACAGTCTTTGGAGCTGAACCTGTTCTGCCCTCTTGTTCTCTGATTTTGTTGAAGAGAAAACATAAGAGATAAGAAGAAAGACATAATGCTTTTGCTAGTTTGAGATAAAGATAGCTATACAGAGAGATTCCTAGCAATACACAATACACATGTATTGCAACCCACATTGGTTCATCTCTACCAGTCCTCTTTACTACTTGCTAGTCCCCTTCCCATAGTGGCCCCAGCTGTTTTAAGATTACTATATTTGCTCCTCTACAGTGAGCACATCAACCATATTAAAGTTTTAGGTTTCCTTCCCTTTCCCTATTTCTCCCGTGCATATTCTCCCCGTAGCATGTGACCCATGGCCAATAATATTATTGAATTTGTTTTAGATCTAAAACATATGAGGGAGAACATGCAATTTTTGGTCTTCTGAGCCTGGCTAACTTTGCATAAGATGATGTTCTCCAGTTCCAACCATTTACCTGCAAATGACAAAATTTCATTCTTCTTTGTGGCTGAATAAAATTCCATTGTGTATAAATACCACATTAAGAAATCCAAAATCTTAAACATTGTGTACAAGATTTCTAAAACCTAGCATACATTAGAATTACTTGGGATGCTTATTCAAAGCCTATAGATTGCTGGGCCCCACCATCAATGTTTCCTGGAGTCCAATGAGTCTGGAATAAGGACTGAGAATTCACATTTCCTACAGGTCCCCAGGTGATCGTGATGAAACTGTTCTGGGAGTCACATTTTGAGAGCCATTGGACCACAAGACTATATAAACTGGGGCTGGAAGCATGGCTCAATGATAAAGCATTTGCCTCGCAAGCACCAGGCCCTGAGTTTAAACCCCAGTACTGCCAAAAAAGAAAAGACTAGCTAAACTGGACCCTTTCATGTTTCTAATTCCATCTCAGGTGCCACTGTTTCGTGTCCTGTGCTCAGTGGTCTTCTCCTGGATTCTCAATCTCCTCATTCTTTTCTGACTTCTTCCTGTATGTTCCCCTCTACCTAACCAAGCTAACTCATATTGGAGGTTTCATGCCAGGTTGAGTTCCTTTGTTGTATATTTTCATCATTGTACATCTCCTTTGCAACACTGAGCACAAGTATTCTCAGATAATAAATGGTATGACCCACGACTAGTATGAGCCCTCTTCACAGTTTATATTATATGATAATATATTATAGCTTATTGAGTATGATAACTGTCTCATTCATTAGAATTTCACAAGTGCCTAATGCAGTAGCTTTCAAAGTAACTGATACTTAAGAAATATTTACTTATTAAGCAAATGAACGGATGGTTAAATATAAATAAATAGTGGAAAGCAGTTCCTATAATGAACCTTTCTGTGCTCATACCTGACTTAAAGTAAATTCTTCTGCTGATTATGAGTTCTCTCAAGGTACACTCCATTCTGGAAATGTATGCAATCTGCAAGAAAGCTGGCAGTTGTCCACGTATATTGTTCTAACAATCCCTCTTGCTCAGTGCAAAAGCCACATTGCAGAATGAGTCTATGAAACAGCCTCAATACCTTGAGATAAGTACCTCTGAAATGATAATCCCAGATTCCTAGTTCAATTTTTGTTACTCAGGATTATATAATGTTATTAAATAAATTCTAACTATTTCAGCTTTTTAGCTAGAAGCATTCTGTCTTTAACAAGATTTTAGTTACACTGCAATTACAGAGAAACATTTGGGCTTTCAAAATATCATGCATGAAAGCTTTAAAGTCATATATTCTTTGAATAGGATAACAGAGATTTGTTAACTGAGGCTAGGATATCTTTCAAAAAAAATACATCCCGTTATAATTGAAACACAACTGCTAAAGTAATGTAAATTTTAAATTATCATCACAATAATGGTAGTTATGCTATTCTCTCAAATTCTATGTAAACAATTAGAAATATGTAGCTATTTTAAAGATGTTTACTATACCTGACATCTTAGCCACAAACTACATAATTGAAGAAGAATAATTAGAAGATGTGAAATTGAAGATCACATTTGAATACAAAAAGGATATAGCTGGGTAGAAGGTGAATGTTAGCAAGCTATTGGGGAAAGACATTATTTTGTAGAGTAACAGATCCACTCTGTTTTCACTTCCAGAAGCTCTGAAATAGCAACTAAGAGAATGGAAAAGTTATTGAGTCAAATAACTAGATCCAGCAGACAATCAGAGATGAGAGATAATATCTGGAGGTTGATCTATGACATCAAATAGAAACATTGCTGGGGAAATCGGGTGTGTTTTATATTTCATTATTACAAATCCTCTCTTGACTTGAATCTTCCCTTCTTTTGCAGGTCTCATTGTGCGGGAAGTGAGCATTGAGATTTCACGCCAGCAAGTGGAGGAACTGTTTGGGCCTGAAGACTACTGGTGCCAGTGTGTGGCCTGGAGTTCAGCAGGCACCACAAAGAGCCGGAAGGCATATGTGCGCATCGCCTGTGAGTCATTGCATATAGACACCTTGGGTTCAGAACCTGCTAGAAAACTGTAGGAAAGTTTAGTCTGTGGATGATCTGGTATCAAAAAACTGTTCAGAATTCCTGGTCAAAAACTGCTCCCAGACTTCTGCATTTGGGCCATGCATTCCTCTTCAGTCACTAGAATACATTTGATTATTTCTTTCAAGGAACAGTTATTTTCCTTTAGGAACCTAAAAGACTTAGTGCTACTGTTAAAAATTTGGATTTTTAAAAATTTAGTAGTATGCAGGACATGGGAAAACCAAATATATTCCTTTATTGAGTTGATTCATTCTGCCATTTTGTTAAGATAATATTGAGTCCTGTTCCTGCTGCAAATAGAGATTCCCTGGGCCAAGCTTCTTTATTTTAGAACTATCCTAGTGAATTGAAACACAGCCCTATTTTCCAAATTATGTCAATTTCTAGAGTTCATAAAGAGGTTCAAATTGCTTCACATACATAAAAAAAGGTTCCATAATCAAAAAATTTGTGAGAAATACATTTTTTGACAAAGTTAGAGATTTCTTCATTGTAAAACTTCTCCAACTCCTCGATAGGCAAATGTGTACATTATCCCCAAGAAGAACGAGTCTGCAGCTCCTGCAGACCCTTCTTAGTGTGGATACTTCTAGGATAGCTTGAGAGCTGCTAGAGCCCATCTTAGGGTTTGTACTGAGAAACATTCTCATATAGGACAGACAATACTGAAATGCATATTTTATTTTCTGAACCTCTTTGCTTCTCTGCATTTCACTAAACTTCATGCTGTGCAGGTACCAATACCACATCTAACTTGTCACCAAGCCTCATCAGTATGGACTCTAAAATCACTCCTATTTGTATACTCATCTCTTCTTCCTTTCTCCTTGATTAGATCTGAGCTATTGCAAACACTTCCCAGTTAGTCTCCATGGCTCAAGTCTTCTTTCCAGTCCTTCCTCCATGTTAACCACAAATGCAGTCTTCTGTCTTCTAAAACACAGGTCTCATTTCATATCACTCTTGCTTCACCTATTTTCAGAGACTTTTAGATAAAGACAAAATATTAGAGACTGAGTGGCTTAAGAAACAAAAACTCACTTTCTTAGAGCTTCGAAGACTACAAGTCCAAGATCAAGGTGTCAGCAAATTTTTTTTCTCCTGAGGCCTCTCTCCATGGTCACCTTCTCACTGAGTTTCACACAGTCCTTTGTATGCACATTTTTAGTGTCTTTTTCTGTGTTTACATTTCCTTTTCTTATAAGGACACCAGTAAAACTGGATTAGGGCCCATTCCAACAGCCTCATTTTGAATTAATCACCTCTTCTTATTTCCAAATATAGTGTCTATTGGGGGATGGAGCTGGAAACAGAACACATAACCATCCTCTTGCCTTTGTTACCCAAAAAATAGCATTGATAATTACCTGTGTCTGGCAGAAAAATTCAAGCAAGAGACAAAGATTATAGTAAAATTAATAGTAAGTTTATTAGGAAAGGAATACACTTTCAACAGATGGAAAGCCTCAAGGGAAAGAACCATGGGTCAGATTTTAAAGTTGAAATATTTATTGAGAAACTCTTAGCGTTGGGTCCTTCCGGGCCCTGAGGTGATTTCCTGCATTTGGGTCATTGTCTTGTTAAGAGAGACCTTGTATAAGCTACTAGTTCCTGCTGTAATTGATAGAAAATTTCTGTTTGAAATTCCTAATCTTTGCTCTATCTAGTTCTTAGGTTTGGGTCTTTGTTTTGTTAAATTTACTTGTGAAAATCTCCTTGTGCCATATTTAGTCATGTTTAGAGTGTAGATTACACTTGGGTAAAAAGAGTGGATTAAGCCTTAGGGTAGTGGCTAACTTCAAAGCATCCTGTGTTAACTCCTGGGCTCTGGCTACCAGATCTTAAACAGAGATTAATAGAGTTGGGACTTTGAATTACAAAGATTTCTTCCTTTCTTCCTCTTGTGGCCAAGGCTTTTTAATAGTCTAACTACTGCCTATCACCTGATGAAGCGTATCTTCAAGGCAAACTCTAAATAAAATAAATAATAACCAGGTATGGAGCAGAGGGTAAATGCTACAAAGCAGAAAAAGACTATTCAGTGATGGGGAGCATGGTCAGGGAAGTTTTCCAAAGGAAGTTGACAGCTGATTAAGCCCAAGGGTAGGAGGAAAAATGCCTTGTAAGTGTAAAGACCTGAGGCAGTTATGTGCTAGCAGCTTCCAGGAAGTGCCCTAAGTGGCTGAAACATAGTACATGACAAGAGATATCATGAAAAAGGTAAGGCCTGGAGTTAAGATAGAGGGAGTGGATGGAGACATAGGACTCTAGAAGTGTTGTGACATCTTTGGCTTTTAGAATGAAAATGGAAATACTGAAATCTCTTCAGCAGAAGAACTTCAACTGACTGCCATTCATAGAATCACATGGCTAGCTATTGAGAAGACACCTTGAGGGCAAAGGTAGCAGCAGGAAGGCCAGTTAAGAGGCTACAGAGATGAGCCATGTTGAGAGAGTACAGAATAGAAGCAGTGGTGATGGTGGTCAAGACTCTAGATATATTTAAAGGTAGAAGTGAGAGCTTTTATTGAGAGTTTGGATGTGGGATGTAAGAGGAAAGGTAGGATTTCTATCTCATGTCCCTAGTCAAGTCATTCCTATCCCATGAATGGAGGGAGGATAGGCATTCTTCTCTATGTATTTTCAGAGAAGTTGGTCCATACTTCTAATACAGAGCTTGTCCCATTTGGATTATATTCATTTATTATAATGTTTGTGTTTCATGCTAGTGAATTCCTTGAGATCAAGAGTCCTAATTTAGCCAGGTGCTGGTGGGTCATACCTGTATCCTTGCTACTTGGGAAACTGAGATTGGGAAAATCATGGTTTGAGGCTAGCCCAAGCAAAAAGTGAGACTCCATCTCAAGAGAAAAAATCTGGGCATGGTACATCTGTGATCCCAGTGACAGTAGGAAGCATAAAATATTCTCCCAGGCCAGCCTGTGCAAAGAGCAAGACCCTATCTCAAAAACAGCCAGAGTAAAAAGGCTCAGGTGAAGCTCAAGTGGAAAAGCATATGCCTAGCAAGCACAAAGCCCTGAATTCAAACCCAGTATCACCTAAGAAAAGAATTCTGTTTTACCTAACTTGGTATCTTCAGGGGTTAGAACTATAACTAGAACATCCTAGATGCTTAATGAATTTTTTTGAATTAAAACTATGCTAAAGAATTCCCTGTGGAATTTATTAAAATGCTGTACATGAATCTTCCATCTCTGAGTGTACTTATTGTCTTCATGGATTCTCCATGAAATAGACCAAGAGATGGAGACATGCATGCAGGGGAGTATTGAAGCTCACTCTTAGGAATAATATCCTAAGAGTTTTAGGATGTTAGGTTAAAGGATAAAGAAATCAGGATTGAGCAGAGGGAGAAACAGAGCTGCAGTGCAAATATGACAAAAGATAACTTCAGAGGGAAGTCTGGAGTTCAAATAGCCCTTCCAAGTTGTCCCATCTTGAGGCACAGGAGACAAGCAGGCCTTTTTTACACCATATAGACCAGGACTTCTCCTTCATTCCCTTCTCCCATCAGCCCTCATGCTCTGGCTGCAGGCAGCCTTTTTCACCTGTGGGCAATTCTAGGAGAGAAGGGATAGCATCATCACCTACACTACCAGTACATAGGGTCAGGTCCAAAAGGATCTCTATGGCCTTTCACCATATCTACTAATGCCTTCTGTTACAAATTCTGAAAATTTGTTCTTATTATTTAAAAAAAAAAAGACACCTTTAGTAGTTTTTTTAAAAGGAAACAAAAGTTAATTGTTTTGGTCAAAGATTTAAATGAATTAAAAATCAGCTTTAAATTACAGTAAAAAGGAATGTGATAGAAAAGTTTGCCTTTATCTTTCATTTCAATGTACTCATTAATATTTTAAATTGCTGGTGGTATGGCTCAAGTGGTATAGCACCTGCCTAGCAAGCATCAGGCCCTGAGTTCAATCCCCAGTAATGCCAAAACAAAACAAAACAAAACAAAACAATATTTAAAATTGCAATCTACACTCAATACTACATTGGCTTGCCTGAAGTTGTAGTTTAAGGGTCGTGTGATTCCAAACAATGGCTTTCTAGCTAATAAGCCATCAATTTTTATTAAGTTTTAGAAAAGATTGTGGCACCAACTATATGTATATAGTTGACTTCATATATATACATATATGTATGTGTTTGTATATGTATCTTTATTTTCCATGTAAAAACTAGGTACCTATTAGTATAAAACTACCTCTTTCTTTGCAACATATTCTATAAACTTTGCCATTTAATTCATGGTTTTAAATGTAGTTTGACATTTTCAAATAATAAGAAAATAAACTCTTCTCTAAGAAGAGATTAACTGATCCACAGAACTTTTTCCCTCAGGTAATAATACTCAAGAGTGGTTTTCCTGTGACTTCACAATTAACTGAACTCACATGTTGTGTGACTAAGGAATGCCATCCAACATGTAAAGATTTACTCCTGTAGATAAGCATCATGGTGAGACACACAAAAAGGCTAAATTTCGCATCCTCTGTCAAAGCTGCTCCCTACCTCTCAGTCCTTGCCCATGGTGCAGAAGCCCATAGATTTCCCAGTATTCCCGCCTCAGATGAGATGCATACTTTCCCTCGTAATACTTGGCAGATGGCCATCACATAAACTGCAATTAAAATCTAAATTCGTCTCAGGTGAAGAAAACCAGGAAGATAAGGTTAAATGAGTGCAATTACTTCTCCTCTAATTGTATTTATGTTCATTAGGTGTACTGAGGCAGGCCCATTGTTCTTTCGTGAAAAAGCTCTATTTTCAGAAGTGTACAAAACCGAAACAAATATTGACTATTTATTTAAGTTTTCTAGCAACAGTTCATACATGCAAACTATATAAAATAGGGGAAAAAAGCTTGTGAAACAATCAGGATAAAGGAAAAAACAGAAATTTGAAAGTTA